CGGCAACCCCAGCGGGGATCTAATCTGGATAGTGCAGCGGCTAAGTTAAATTCACTGTCGCCATGAGGCCTATTCATATAATTATGGGAAAACTCAACTATTAGTCCGCCATCGCCTTATGTAATTAGAACTCTTATTCACGATCTACTGATAGTATCGTAGCCTACTTGCTATGAATATAAGTAACTTAATCTATTGTAATCACCAAATTCAAGTTTGCCCCATCAACAATCCCATTATAAGCGTGATATGATGGAGATTTAGTTTTCCTTGAAATTCATGTCTGCCATATGACCTATTTGTATTCATATAAATGCTAAGTTATGGCAAGATGTAGAAATCACATGCTTCACTAGCCGGGCTCAATTTCCTTTGGAGGGGCTTATAAACCTCAGACGAGGTCTAAACTGCTGTCCTGCTTGGAGGATTATACTTTTTTTTTTAGAAATAAGGCTACGTGAAATGTAATGGTATCATGAGGCCTACTCGTATAATTTTGGGAAAGTTCGTTTATCAGTCCTTCATCGCCTTGTGCAACCTAGAATGACTATAATTCTTTATTTAAAAAATAAAAATTTAAATTATGTTGTTAAAATATAAAGAAGCCTTAAGGGACAACGCTTATGCAATCTTTACGATATTTGCTTATAAATATGTTATAAAGAGATGTGCTAGCCTGTTTCTTTTATCCGTAAATTATTTATGCTTCGAGCAATCGACATAAGTTAATCAAATATGTCGAGAATTCTATTAACAAAAATAAATCATGATTTTTGCTAGCCCGGAATTGAGTTTTGATTTATCCCTTTTACTCTAAGTTTTTGACCTTCCGAAGACACTAAATATTATATTAATTTTATTGTATTCCAACTTTCTCTCTCTGCAGTCGGATGATCCATTTGATCCTTTCTGCTTGATCTCATCATCAACCGTTAAGAGCGTCTCTACAGGATCCGGGCTAAATGCGAAGCTCTCATCTGACGCCATTTTTAAAGCCTGGGAATCTACCGATTCGCAGGCTAACACTACTCTCAATCTGGCCACCGACCGTATCTCAGCTTCAGGTTTAAAGTCTATTGTGAGCGAAAATCTTGAGCAATATCAGTCTGAATCTAATGGCGAACGGGGACCTACCAAACAAGCTGACACTGCCCTACTCCCTAACCCTGCTACTTTTCCAAAAGCTCGTGACAAATGCAAGTCGGCTCAACCAAATTCGACCTCCGAAAAGCTCAACTCCGGCACTGCGCCGCCAGCTGTTGAGGAGGAAGAGGCTGTGCTGATGTGGGTTCGCGAGGAGAGCCGAATACAAGCGCAGCAAGAGGAGGCAGTACGGGCTCGTGAACAAGCCGACCTCGAGCTTGCTATACGCCTCAGCCAGATGGACGCAAGATGAATAAAAAACGCTTAATCTATCTCTTGCCAATTGCTCTGAGATTGTGCCATTTGTCAGTTATTTCGCCCCGAGGACCAAGCAAGTACTTATCTCTCACTTTGATATTCTCTCCTTTTTATTTCAACTTAACATTTTGCCGATTGCCCATTTGCTTCCACTTCTCCCTACCGCTTGACATATTCATACCCATTAAAACATTCCTTCACTTGAACAGGAACACACGGGTGTGTTTGCCTTTTTTTAGTGGCTAATTTTCACTTATTCTCCATCTACCATTTTTTGTTCAACTGCGAAAAACTCGCTGTGAACTCTTGTATCTCTCTAGGGAGATCCAATTCTGCAGTGTTGTTAATCTTCCTCAAATAGCTCGCTGCTAACTTGTTGCCTCATCATGGTCTTATTTATTTATTTTTAAGCCATATTCTGACCTCTTGACGCTTATTCTTCGACTTACTCAATCGCAAGTACTCGTATATTGAGCTTTGAGCTAACCCTCAGTCGGGTTCTGCATTACTCGGGCATCTTTTTCTCTTTGTTTCAAGCCGTATGGTCTTTTTTCCCATGTGGTGGACACTTAGCTTTTTACTTCTTTTTCTCTGATTTTGCACTCATTACTTGCTCCTTTATACAAATGCCTTTCAAGATTTTTAAAGCATTTTATCCCGAGGGCCTGATTAGTTTCTTGTTCGCTCAACAGGCTAATTTTTGCCATGTTTTGTCTGTATTGTGTATATGCTTTCTTCATTTTGATGAAGCCAATTTTTTGGGAAGCCGTACTTCTGATTGATCCACTCTTCATTATATTCCTTCTTTTCGGCATTCATTTTGCCATTCATACGCTTCCCAAAATTTCTTTCCTTTTCCATTCATTCTTTATGGAAAAGTGAAAGATCTCACTATTCGAAACTTATTCACATTTAAGCCAGTTTACTTGTCAATATCGAAAATAATGAATTTTACAACGAACTCAGCATTAAAGCTTGTCTATTTTCAATAGACTATAGCTCTACAAGAACCGGCATATTTGTTCAATTATATTCGTTTTATTTATTGTCCAGTCTTTAAATTTATCTGGTTAGCTTTGCTATCTCTTGTAATATTCTTCTACAAGCGCTGTTCGCACCTACCCATTTCCATCTATTTATCTGACTAATTCATTCATTTAATATTCTTCTACAAATTGTCTATTGCAAATTTCAACACTTACATTTACTCTACATCTACTCTGCTCTAGTTTCACCAACTTCAGAGCCTTCATCTCTT